ATCCCCGTCGGCACCCCAATTCAAAAACTCATCTTATTTCCCATGAGGAAGGGCCACGTCTCTGTCACTGATGAATGAATGTATTGAATTAATTATTAAAAGACGAACTCATAATTTAACACATATTTTTGAGTACCAACCATATGCCATCCCTCAGGCTAGGTCCTGGGGACCACGGAGAATCAAACAGTCCCAGTCAGTACCTGTCATCTGGAGCTTGGAGTCCAGTGGGAAGATGAGGTTCAACAGAGAATTACACAGATAATCGGTTGATTGACAGTGTCATATGTGGGATGAAGGAAAATTACCAAGTAACAGGAGGGCATAGAATAGGAGGGTCCATGGGTCTGGGGTGTCTGAAAAGGAATCACACATTAGCATTGAGGCTGAGGTCTCTGTAGCTGTGAACCAGGCGAAGAAGGAGGGGAGAGCATCTGGATTCAGGGAAGCAGGAGTCCAAAGGCCCCAACAGGGAGGAACAGCCTGAATGCCTTGGTGGCCACACCTGCAAGGCTTAGGAAATGAGAATAACTCCTCCTCAAATTGTCACCTTTCAGAAAACAAATGCTCTGTTTTAACCAAAATAACTGGCTGGTGAGTGAGAAGCCCACGATCAAAACAAATGCCTCAGCTGTCACTGAACTGGAAACATTTATGGATGCGAAGATGTTTAGAAATGTGAGTGGTAATTCTAAAACAGCCCCTCCCCGACTCCCTCCCCGCGTCTCTCTCCCCAGGAATCAGGTCTCACAACCCCAGGATCCCAGAGGATCTTTTCACTGCAGAAGAGCCACTGAGGCCTGAAGGTTCCTGATTTACCTTTGTGAACCTTGGCCTCCCTGATGTGGTGGAGACGAAAACTGCAAAAACCCCGAAAAGCGGGATTTGGGGGGAAATAAGCAGAATTGTCAGTCAAGCCCAAAAAACACTGCTGAAAACAGATGGGAAGACTGAGGCACAGAAATGACTAGGTAGGTGACTCAAGGTCACACACCTAGCAGACTTGGTCGCGTCACGCTGTGTGCCTCTCTAAGGGCATGGACCGTAGGGACTGGCAGCCAAGGCTCCGATGCCCAGCCCTGGAGTGGGGAGCAGGGGTACAGGATCAGCTGGGTGGGGCCAGTCCCACCTCAGTCACCTGGACTGAGAGTTGGGGGAAGGTGATTCCCCAAAGGGAACCTGGGTGCTCTTGCCAGAAGAAGAGGGATTGGGTGCCGGGCAGGGGAAACCACATGACCCTCTATGATGAGACTATAGGAAAGTGTGTACAGAGAGGATATTTTTCTCTCCAGTCTGATGTTGGGCCCCAATTTCAAAGAACAGGAGGCTATAAAAAGAGCAAGGGAAGGAAGTGCTAATTAAAAGGTCCCTGCAGGCTCTGGGGTCAGGAAGAACAAAGAAGCGGAGTTAGGGAGGCTCACAGCCTAAGGGTCATTGCAAGGGCTCTGGGGGCAGGACGGAGGGTCAGCCCAAGGACCTTAGACAGATGGGGCATGGGACCTCTGTAACTTCATCTTTCTCATTTGCAAAATAGTGATAAAATACTGATCTCTCAGATTTCTTGACAGCATTCCATGTCTAATATATGTTGGTTCCTTAGCCCCATGCTTAGTACATGGCCTGTTCTCAATAAATGGTAATGGCTGCAGTTAATGTCATTGCTAAGGCTATTCAAATATTAGCGTCTTTGCTGGCCCTTCCTCTGAGACCAAAAGTCTCACTGACTGGGGCCGGCCTGGTGGCGCAGCGGTTAAGTGTGCAGATTCCACTTCGGTGGCCCAGGGTTCGCTGGTTCGGATCCCAGGTGCAGACATGGCACCGCTTGGCAAGCTATGCTGTGGTAGGTGTCCCACATATAAAGTGGAGGAAGATGGGCACGATGTTAGCTCAGGGCCAGTCTTCCTCACTAAAAAGAGGAGGATTGGCAGGGGTTAGCTCAGGGCTAATCTCCGTCAAGAAAAAAAAAAGTCTCATTGACTCTTCTGAGATCTTTGGTTCCTTTTTTGAGATCACAAGATCAAGGACTTTTTCAAGTACTTAGGATCCTAAAAGTCCTCATGGCACTTTTCCAGCACATACATTGTTCTTACTTTGGGGGTGGGCAATATGGATCACATCAGGATGTCCCGCTCCGGTATTCTTCATCTGTTTCTGCCAGATGCTGGAGAAACAAGAGCCTTTGTATTCCTTTGGTGCAGAGTGTTCAAATGGCAGTGTCCTTCAATGCTCCCTTCACACTGATTGGCTTTCTAAGGGCACCTTGTAAAGGCTCCATCACCATGTCCAGTGTCCTCTGGCAACCATTCTAGGCTCGGTCTCCAGAACCCACTTGCTCTATCTTGCCTGCCTTTGAATTCTGCTACTTCACTCTTAGACTTGACACTCGGCTTTCCCGCTTTTCTGGCTGATACAGATCTGTCAGGTGTCTTTTTGTTGAAATGACAGAAACCCAATTGAAATGGACTTAAGCAATTATGTAACTGAAAAATCAGGACAGAGCAGGATTCAGGGACTTCAACAGTATCATCACGTCTCCGTCTCCATCTCTTTGTCTTTGCTGTCCTTTCTGTTGGCTTCATTCAGGCAGACTTGTCCCCTCAGCCAAGCGGCCACCAGCAAAGGCCGATTTCACCATGTGATTGACCGCATGAATATTCCCACTTCTTCATCTTTCCTGCATGCGTGCACTCTGCCAGTGACTTTGCAGTTTTTCCCACCAGAAGTGGAGTGTGTTTGCCACTCCATGATGCTGAGCATGGCCATGTGGCCAATTTCAGCCAAAAGAATATGATTGGAAATGACATGTGCCAGTTCCAAGCCTAGCCCTTAAGAAGAATTACCTGTTTTCATTTGCCTTTCCCTCATGCTTCTGGAATCATCATGAGAATATCCTGCAGGTGGCCTGCTAGATCCAGAGAAACAAAAGACATTTGGAGCAGAGCTGCCCCACTGACCACAGACCTGAGGCAGAAGCAGAAGCATGCCAGCTTGCCCGCAGGCCTGTCAGTGTGATGATCAATGCTTGCCTTCGTGTGCCACTGAGCTGTGGGAGGGTTTGTTCTGCAGACTCGTCGTGGCCACGGTTGAATGCTGCACAAGCTATTGTCTCAACAACCATCACCCAAAGAGAAGTTTTCCTTCCTGATCATTCCAGAAAAATTCCTAAGATCGATTTTAATGGGCCAGACTTATGTCTATTCCTAGTGTTGGGGTGAGAGGGAAAAAGAAGCATCTAGAACTAAGACATAAGCACTGAAAGTGAAGAAGCAGTGGTTCCCCACAGGAAAATCACACTGCTGTTACCAGAAGAAAGTGGAAAGGATGCCAAGCAGGTAGAATGACTGACTCTCACCACTCCATCCTTGAAGGGGTTGTAGAAACCCGTGTCCCATGGCTCCATACTAAGCCAGGAACCAGCCTTGCTCATGTCTACACTCATCTGTGCAGGGTGGAACTCAGCTGGAGCTAAAAACCTGGCATCAGTTGGCCAGGTAGAGAGGCCCACTCCACGGTATTTGGTGTGCCACCAAAATTAAAATGACCCAGCCCCTAGCTTCTCTCCCTTTCCAGGCCGGAATGGGTAAAGTGGCTTCAGCCAACTGAGAGGCTACTACTTGGCAACTCGTCCTCGTTTCCTGCAGGGCCAGCTCACCTTGGAGGTGAAAAGTAGTGGCTAGAATAATTGCTGGGTCCGCACCTGGACTGGATTTAGAGCAGTCCTTTCTCGCCAGCCACAGCCCTTAAGTGCAACCATGGGGCTTTAATCTCTTGTGGGGTTCCTGCCCCACTGCCTCTCTGTTTTTGAAAGAGAATAGACCTGAATTGGAAGCAGGACATGCAATAAATATCACCCTTTCACCCTGTCTCATGGGGTCATTCAACTTGCTGAATATCACTTAAAATTAAGTTGAATTAAAAACTGTAGTGGCTGTATTTTGCTTTCTTCCTCCAAATCCCACTTTTCTACCTTGACCTTTTTCCTGCTCTGTTTAGCAGCTGCTGTCTTATTTTTTATTTTTGTTTTTTTTCTGAGGAAGATTAGCCCTGAGCTAACATCTGCTGCCAGCCCTCCTCTTTTTTTCTGAGGAAGACTAGCTCTGAGCTAACAGCCGTGCCCATCTTCCTCTACTTTATATGTGGGACGCCTGCCATAGCATGGCTTGCCAAGCAGTGCTATGTCCCCACCCAGGATCTGAACCGGCGAACCCAAACTTGAGCACTTGACCACTACACCACTGGGCCAGCCCCAGAAGCTCCTGTCTTTAAGGAATGTCATTTGGCTCCAAGAAATTCATGGGGCATTTTTGATGGACAGTGTACTGGGAAAGGGAAAATTTCTATCTCATTCTGACAGTATTATACCCTAAAGCTGCATGACCACCTGCGCTCTCTCCAAGCCTTCCATCAGGTAGAGGAAGCATTTAGAGATGTAAAGAGAAGGGTATTTTTCCCTACTCCCCAGGGTGACCCATCACTCTTGCCACAGTCCACCCCCACCCTCCTTTAGATGCCAAACCTCCTCATGGAGTTGGGAGAAAATGCTGGGAGAAGGCCCGGGTGGGGGAAACAAACACTGGTCAGTGTGTTCGCTCTGATTACACCCTTACAGTGGAGACAATAGCTCCCGTGAACACAAGCAGACAAGGCTCAATGCAGCTTTCTTCCCCTCCTCAATGCAGCTTTGATCCAGCCAGGGCTACCGGGAGGAATTTCAGTCTAACTGGGGCAGCCCTACCTGGGAACCATGCCTCACTCTGTGGGGGTGGCTCCTCCCATTATTGGGGAGGTTATCGGGAGCCGGCATGGAAAGTTCCATAAACATGGAGCACCAGCACCCCACCAGCGCCTCCACACACCAGCCTGATTGAATTTAGCACATGTCTTTGCTATAGGTACGATTGGCGATGACAGTTGTCAAGCTGTTGTGGCTCAGTCTCAAAGTCACTACCGTTTTGTGACGCAGGGGCTGGAACTGCCACTTCTCCCAGCTAACTGGCGCCATGTCAGGTTCTGCCACTAGGAGGCGCCAGAGGGAGATCGCAAAGCTGGAGGACCGAAAAGGGACTTTTATCTTTCAGTGCCCACCAGTTTCATCCTGGCATCGAAGTTTGTTTCAGTCTCTAGGTTTTTTCAACACCCCTAGTACCAGCCTCTTAGTCATTTCTCTGCCCCATGATTTACAAAACTCTCCTACTTTAAAAACAACCACCTCTGGGTTTTAAAAACAATCCCAGCGCCCTGTGTACAATTTCACAACAAAGGAGAGAAGCGTCAAGGGCTGGGACGATAGCAGAGGGGTCTGCGCCTGCATGAAGACCCAATTTCTTCCCGGGTGGTGGATAAAGCTAAGGAGATAAAAAATGACCTTTCACCTTCGGGAACAGTAATGTAAGATTAATTTGAGGCTTTGAAACTAATGAGTTGGCTCGTCCTGGTGCAGCATCCCGTGAATCACGTGGTCTTTGCAGAGGCAGCAACCCAGGCATCTATCTTCCTCAGATGGTGCTCCGCGGAAGGAGGGAGGAGAAAGAAATTCATTTTTAGAAGTAATCCTCGGAGGAGAGAGATCTGCCAGGTCTCCGTAAAGCTGGTATTAGAGTGAAGGGAAAAAGAACAGAGAGCGAGCGAATTATGTACCTTTAATCTGCTTAGCTTTTCACTGTCGAATAGCCGAAGGGCTCAGACAGGCAAGGGTAGTGTGAGATGGTTAAATCTATGAATTTGGAGTTAGGCCCCTTGGGGTCCAGACCTGATCTGTGACTTTCTAGCGGTGTGATCTTTGGTATGTTTTAAAACTCGTATTTTAGGGAGGTTTGGATTAGATAGTACGTGGAAAGCACTTATGTCCGGGCTAGGAATCTGGTTATTTTTGTATTTTCAATGTTGATTGAGAGAGGCGGGAGCAACTTGAGGGTGCTCTATCCACAGACGGGAAGTCTGAGGTTCCCGCTCCGGCATGAGGAAATGTCTAACAGCGGAAGACGAAAGTAGAGCCAGGCCAATGTGCATCATGGGGAAACTGGTTTCAGCACCACCCAAGAAAGAATGGTCTCGCGTGCTGGCTGGCGGACAGTGGGAATGGCTGCCTAGAGAGGCAGTGAGCGCCCCATCCTTGAAAGCATGCAAGAAGCAGCTCTTTCCACTATATTAAACAATGGGTTCAATTATTTCTAAGGATCCTTCTCCCTGTTCAAATTCTGGATCTTTCTACTTGCTCAATGTGTTGCCCAGGGTCACTGAACCTCTCAGAGCCTGAGTTGCCTCATCTGTGAATCAGGCAGATGGTGCTACTGGCCTCGGTCTTATGATCTCTCTCCCTTTCCCCTTCACACCTTCCCTCCAACAAACTGATAGTCATGATGGGCCAGGCACTGTGCTAGGCTCTGGGGATACTAAATGGAAGAAGATGGGATACAGACACTGCCTTAGAAAAAGCTCAAACATGTAGTTGAGACAGACAGATAAACAGAACGTTATAAAGCAATTCCTTAGATGCACTGATAGAGCTTTGCATTGAGTACTCTGGAAGGGTAGAGGCAAGGCATCTAACTCAGCAGGGATGAGGTGGGGAGGAGCAGTCAGAGTGCTTCCTGGACGAGATGGGGCAATAATTGGATGGTGGGAGTATATGCTTTGGAAGCAGAGTCAACAGTGTAATCAAAGACCTGGGGGCAAGAAACAGCATGGTGTGCAGGGAACTGCACCAAAGGCAGTGCTGGTGGGATGCAAGCCATGAGGGGACAGTGATGGGAGACAAGGGGAAGAGGTAGGCAGCGGGTGGATGATGCAGGCCCTTGTCTTCCGTGCTAAAGAATGTGAACTTAGATCCTGTCAATTATGAAACGTCAATGGATGATTTACACAGGAGAGTGACATGTTCAGGTTTCTGTTTTAGCGCCACCTCTCTGGAGCCTGTGCGGAGGATGAATTAGGAAGAAACAAGGCCAGACCACCAGTTGGCAGACTGCTGAAGTCAAGAAGTCCTCTAAGCCAGAAGTGATGATGCCATGAACCAGGCTTCTTACAGAGTTGTGGTGAGAATCCCATGTTGAGATGCCCAGGGAAGCTCATAGTAAAGCATGAACTGCTTCCCAAATGCAAAGGGTCATAATTATGATCACTCTATAAAAGTTTCGTTTGAGGAGCCATCATACAAATTGGGTCCCCTCATCACTTACCCTTGCAGTGGCAATAAAATCCATACATGTGGTCCAAACCAGTATAAATGGTACTTGTACTTAACAAGAGCCTTTGAAAAGGTAATGAAATGACTGGCTTGAAGAATAATTTTGCAGATGCTTCTGGGATATGAAGTTTTCCATTCCATGACTGAATTTTGGTGCTGCTGGGAAGGATGGGGGAGAGAAGCACAAGATTAGATTTCAAGCAGGGAAGCTAAGAGGGCAGATGATGCTCTTTGAATAAAACTTCTAATGGATTTGGCATGAGAGGGCACTGGAGATGGGCCGAAACGTCTGAAATTTGCTCAACTGTTTTTGCAGACAGCTGGGAATTTACCAGCATTATCTTATTTTACCAGAATATTTTTGACGTTGTAGATGTGCCCCGGAACGCCTCATCTCAGGGAAGGCAAGAGGAGTCTCTCTTAAGAGAGTATGGCGTCTGCTTCTAGTGCTGTTTACGGCAAAGCTGAAAACTGTCTTTGAAATTAACAACAGATGTGCATAAATCTTCAGTTACCTAGCAACTAATACAAGGCAAGCAGAGGTTCACAGGGCTGGGTGGAGGTAAACCTGTTTTAGAATACCTGGGAGCCTTTCCCTGACGTGTGGGAAATCCCCCACACACTTGGGGATTGCTGGGAGGGACAGAAAGGAAATTAACACGACTAATTAAATGTTTAAGTTTCTTTCTTTCTTTCTTTGTAAAAATTTAATCAGATAACAAAAACCGTTCCTAAATCTCTGAGGTTTCTAGCAACAGAGAGGGTTTATAGACTAGATAATTTCTGAGGCCTCTTCCAAAGCTCAACTTTTGGCTATCAACTAGCTATGTAACCCCGTGTGTAAAATGAGAGGTCAGATTAGGGGATCTGTAAAGTTTCACCCACATTTCTAGGATGTATGGAGCAAGAGTGTTTTTAAATTTTGGTTTTGTTGATTGAAAGGTATGTGTCTCCAGTCAAAGTAGATTTTTAAAAAGGAGAAAGTGTTGAAATAATGACGCCAAGAGGCATGTGACTTAAAGGATACACACACACCACACGCATGCGCACACACACACACACACACACACGTATATTCTCTGTGTGTGTGTATATATATGTGTGTATTTTTTATTTATAAAAATTAGTTTATACATTAAAGGTTGGATTATAAATTCAATGTTACAGGGCCTGGCAGGTGACACAGAGGAGTTCTGTGCCCAGGGAGCATGGTGAGCCAGACAACTGGGCAGCTGCTAGGTGGCTCCAGCTGAATACGGCCATAGAAGAATGGGGCCCAGAGCTGCCAGATCTTTTGATTCTTCAAAAAGCAGAAATCCGGAATTCATGTAGAATCTCCTATTTAAAAAATATTGACAACTAATTTGGAGTTGTAAAAAAAACATTGAGTGAATTAAACAATGTGAGTCTGCCTTAAAGCAAAACTTCTGAACATGAGGTTCTCTTTTTAGAAATTACATGGTTGCTCACAACTCACTTTGTCTGATGGGATGGAGACGAGCTTGTATAGGCCACCGGCTAACAGGGTTCATCCAGTGCCCCCTACATACTGTGCTGGGTGCCTTTCACATCTGCCATGTTCAGAATCCTCCAAAAGGTGGGCATCATTCACCACAAGAATCATGATCCCTGCTTTACAGATGAGGATGCTGAGGCTCAGACACGTCAAGGTCACGCTGAAGATCGCTCAGCTCCTGAGTCCTGGAGCCTCGATTTCAGTCCCATCTCTCTGACACTAAGGCTGCCTGCTCTTAAGAGTTTGACTCCCCTGGAATGAAAGAGGGGAAGGGTTTTTGTTCTTTGGGGTTCTTGCTTTTTTACTAGTTTTAACAGAATTTCTTTGAAGAGGTGTTAGGAGGCTGTCTTAGTTTGCTAGAGCTGCCATAACAAAGGACCACAGACTGGGGGGCTTAAACAACAGAAATTTATTCTCTCCTGGTTCTGGAAGCTAGATGTCCAAAATCAAGGGGTCAGCAGGATTGATTTCTTCTGAGGTCTCCCTTCTTGGCTTAAAGATGGCCGTCTTCTCCCTGTGTGTTCACACCATCTTCCCTCTGTGTGTGTCTGTATCCTGATCTCTTCTTATAAGGGCACCAGTCATACTGCATTAAGGCCCCCCATATGATCTCATTTTACCTTAATCACCTCTTTAAAGACCTTATTTCCAAATACCTTCACATTCCCAGGTACTGGGGGTTAGAGCCTCAACATACGGATTTTTGGGGGGACACAATTCATAACAGAATCCATAACAGAAGCCATCCATTTTGTTTTCCTCTCCCACCCCTTTAGAAGTAGGATTATTGGAGGGACTGATAGAAGTTTCCTGAGTTGGAAGCCAGAGTGTAAGGCAGGACATCAGCTCACCTGAGGGAAATGCTTCTCTTGTCACCCAAGATGGCTGACCCCGCCGTCCCTCAGCCAGGCCCAGGAGGAATGTGGTGTGTTCGCATACTTGAGCCAGTTAACCTGTTCCCAAAGCATAGCGTCAATGTCTTAGAATAAATAAAACGTGAGATGTTTAGCAATGTCACTGCCTTCCTCGGCATCACTGGTTATATCTGTGTGTCTTGATTTAAAATGATATTGATATGGACAAGTAGCATTACATATCAAAAACTGGAAACAGCCCCAATGTCCAACAATAGGGTTAATAGGATTCTCTGCAACCTTTGGAAATTACGCTGTGGGAAAATATTTGCAACGTGAGAAGATTCTCATGATAGATGAAGTGGAAAAAGGAGGTTACAAAGAAGTATGTACAGTTTGATTCCAATTTTTTGAAAACAGTTTATTACATGTACATATATGTTCACATATGTGTGTATGTGTTCATGTGGAAAGGTACGCTCCAGGATATTTAAAATAGCCCTCTCTCAGTGATAAAATTGTGCATATTTTAAATTTCTTCTGTTTTTCTAAATGTTTCATGCTTTAGGCAATAAATATATATTATTTTTGCAATTAGGGGAAAAGCATTAAAAATACAAACCTTGATATACACACTCAATTTACAGAAAAATTTTTCTAACTTAGCCTTTTTCATAAGGAACTCCCTTACAGCTTTTTACTCAAGACTGCATTTATAAAAATTTGATTTACTTGCCGTTTTCCAGAGACAACACTGAGCCATGATTACCTGGATTCCAGAAGAATTTTTTGTGACAGGACTGAGAACCTCTTCTCTCTTTCTTTGTTCATCTGAGTCTCTTTTCCCATGAAAGGGGTTTTAGGAGTGAATTCAGAGAAAAGGTGGTGTCCCACAGACCTGGATAAAGGGCACTAAAATAAATAAGTGGACTAGTTTAACGTGTCTAAAATTTCATCCAAGCAGACCCAAAAAGAAGCAGGATGTAACTTCGTAGTGACTTTGTTCCTTCTATTTCTCTTTATTTATTTGAGAAATCCTTTGGATACACTTCCTTTTTTAATAGAATGTGCTTTGATTGGCTAAATATCTCTCTGATGTATCCTCTTATGAAGGAGAGGTGTGTGGTGGACACTGCTGTCATGTCAAACTTGGAAGAGGCAGTCATGGTCACCTTGCCCAACTCTTGACATTAGTGGTTCCCAGACCTCTGAGTCCCCTAGAGAGATTTTGTAAAGGTTCCTGCAGCATTACAGAAATAGAACGGGCCTGGGACTACGGATTGTCAAAGCTCTGATTCTTTTGAAGTCCAGCCAGTTGGAGAAACCTTTCTCTACGTGGCTCATGAATTTCTCCCTTCAACATCACAATAAATGGTTCCATGAACTCTTCTAGAGAAGGAGAATTTTCTACCTCATGCGCTGGCCCGTTCCACTCTTGGACAGTTATGCCTATTATAATCCTCTTTTGCGTGTCACTTGGATTCCTCCAACCAGTTCAGAGGTTAAAAATGGAGTCACGTCGCTGGTGTAACCCAAGGTCCCAAGTGGCCCAATCTCTGCACAGAGTCACATCTTCAAAGGCAAAACTAATTACAATGGTAACTTAGGGCTTTACTGCGACTCCCAAAAAATGTGGTAAGGGGTCCAATTCACAATCCATGGCAGCATTTCTCAAAATCCTTTTCCCTTTCCTTCTTGATTCTGTTAACTCCTCAGTTACACCAGAGCTCCTCATTCACCACCCCAACCCCAGCTCTTTCCCAGAGTTCCCCGCAGCTGTCACAGCTGTTCCCAAATAAATCCCATCAACTATCAATTGCTGTCTATAATTTTATTTCCATCTCCTGCTCTAATAATCTCTCTCTGATGGTGCCTAAGGATTAATTCTTCCCTGATTACCATGTTGGAGGATATTAAATAATACTGCTCTGCACCCCGATGACTCATAGTGAAGCACACACCATGCTCTTAGAATCTCAGCCTTGGCGTCAGCCAAGCCTGGCTTTTGATCCCAGCTCCGCCTTTTGCCTACTGTGTGACACTGGGCAAGTCACTTAACTTCTCTGTGCCTCAGCTTCCTCATCTGTAAAATGCGGGCACTCACAAAATCTAACTGAAAGGGTTGTGAGAATTAAGCGAAATTTGATTAACTCAAGCAAAGTGCTTAGCACAACAGAATATTGGTTCTCTGCATGCACCAATATTTCCTTTTTTTTTTTTTTTGAGGAAGATTAGCCCTGAGCTAACATCTGCCGCCAATCCTCCTCTTTTTGCTGAGGAAGACTGGCCCTGAGCTAACATCTCTGCCCGTCTTCCTCTACTTTACATGTGGAACGCCTGCCACAGCATGGCTTGCCAATCAGTGCCATGTCCGCAACTGGGATCTGAACCGGGGAAGCAGAACGTGCGCACTTAACCACTGAGCCACTGGGCTGGCCCCTCCATTTTTTTTCGCCATCATTTTTTGGAGGGGCTGACCAAAAGAGAAGGGTGATTTTGCTAGAGAGTGAAGAGGACCTGGTGAAAGACTTAAAGCCAAAGTCAGCAAACTAAGCCCACAGGCCAAATTCGACTTACTACCTGTGTTTGTAAATAAAGTTTTACTGAAACACAGCCATCCCATTCATGTATGACTGCTTTTGCACTACGTTGCAAAGTCGAGTCATTGTGATAATGACTGCATGACCCACAAAGCCTAAAATATTAATTCTCTGGTTCTTTACAGAGAAAGTTTGCCAACCCTGATTTAGAGGATAAAAACGAACTGTCTTTTCCTCTGAGTCTGCCACTGAAGAGATGGATGTCATGAGGCTTTCCCTATCAAGTGAGGTGGTCGACTATAGTCAAAGGTTTCTTGCATCTAAGAGTCAACTCTCAGCAACACCTTAATTCCCATTTTTTTCCACCAAGAATTAACATCTACAACAATCAAGAATAATGCTATGTTCCTTAGAAGCTTGGCTAGTTCTACTAGAATTCCAAAGAATGGAGTGTTGCATCTGATAAGGCCATTGGGACAAGGCTGCCCAAGGGCTCACCTGTGTTTATACGTCTGTGCCTCTTCCCAGGCACAAAGCTAGTTGGCACCTCCCAATCCCCTTGCAGTAAGGTGGGCCAGGTCTTGAGCTTTTGCTGATGGAATTGAGGAGAAATATGTCCAG